AGGAGTGTTAAGTGAGATAATGTATGGAAGGCACTTTGACACAGTAACAGCCTAGTAAGTGACAGGTAACAGGGGGCAGAAGCCCAAAGTAGGTAAGAGAATATCTAAAAATTCCAAATTTGACAATCTTTCAAGGCCTTAGAAGAATCACATCCCAATGCACTGATATAAATTATAAAAACAGTAATGACTGCCAGTAACCTTTGAGAAGTCATGGCAAATGACATATGGGCTAGACGGTTGTTCCAATTTTCAAAAAAGAGGGGAAAAAATAATTCTCAAAACTTAGTAATTCTAACCAGCCAGTTAGATGTTTTCATCTCCAGTGACATTCTGGATGCATTACAATTATGAAACATATTCTACATGCAATTTTAAAAGGAAGTTGCGATTACTAAAACCAGCATTTAGTCAAGTGCAAGTCATGCTGAAAGCAACAAGATTTCCTCTTTTTATTTGGAGGGGCTGAAAGACTAATCAGAGAAATGCCATAGACACAGTATATCTGCATTTGGACAGGGTGTATAACAAAGGTTTCAGAAAGCTTTAACATGTTAACGTGCCATATGAATATCTAGAGGAAGCTACTAAATGCAGCAGTTCCTATATTATTTTGACCATGGAACACATTTCGTGTAGAGCAGCTAATAACACCTAAAAGAAATTGGGTTGGGCAGAACATCATCCAGAAACACTAGACTAATCTAAGACTAGACAGCGGTAATACCTTAGGCTCATTAGGCAGCCTTTGGAAAATATGTTTATTTCCAAACATAAGTTTTTAAAGAAACTCTGAGAAACAAGAGTTTGTCCAAAGGAGGATACCAGTATAATGCATTATATAATTATATATATATATATTTTTAAACAATATAATATATTGTTAAGGAAATAATTAGTAACTGTTATGGACTAAATATGCGTGCCCACCCCCCACCCCCAAATCATCTGTTGAGATTTCTTGCCCCTTTCAACACGTGAGGACACAGACAGAAGATGGTTGTCTAAGAATCAAGAAACAGGCCCTCACAAGATACTGAATCTGCCAATGACTTGATCTTGGACTTCCCAGCCTCAGAGCTATGAGAACTAAATGCCTGTTGTTTAAGTCACTCAGTCTACAGTATTTTTGTTATAGCAGTCCAAATAGACTAATTATGGAACTATGGAAGAGACACCTTTGGAAGCAGGGCTGTCCTATGAGCCAATTTCAAATTTTTCATATGGAAAAGGAATTAGAATCATTCTGTTTAGTTAATACACAGTTTTTGTGGGGCCAAAAGACATCCTTCAAAGTCCCACAACCGCCATTCCTGGTCTCTCAGGTGTCTACTTGCCCTCAAGAGATAGAAGTACACTCCTCACTGGGTGTGTTTGCCCTAACAAACTAATAGCCCTAGGTAATGCCTAATCTCACAATAGCTCAGGCTGGCTTGTTTCAGCCCACACCTCCACCTCATTAGAGTCATAAATCCCACCGCCCTTCACAGACCCTAACTTCTTACCTCACCTACAACCAATCAGAGAACTGTGCATGCATGCAGCCCCGAACATATTGTGTTCACCAACCACTTACCCATAAAAGACCCCAACAACTGGCCCTCTGCTCACACAGACACCTCTTTGTGTGGCTCACTGTTGTCTATGGCAGCTCACCTAATATCTCCTCTTCTATTTTCATTCTTTGTCTTTGGTAAATTCTTTTACTGCCTATGACACTAGCCTGCCGTGTTCCCCAACAGTTTCTACATAGATAGGAGTATTATGTAGAAATTATAGGGAGGCAGGTTTTGGCTGGATATAAAGACATTTGTAAGAGCACTGGTCTCGGGATTTGATGAACTATAATAATATGCCCAGTTCAGCCATACCCTAGCTAAGCACCCTTCAGCAAAGGCCCTGACCTCTCAGAATCTCAATTTTCTCATCAGGGAAGCTCACAGCAGTATTACAAAGTAAAAACCCTGTACTAAATGTGAAAAGATCAGCACAGTTCCTGATATATTCTAAGTACTCAGTAAATGGAATTATGATTGTATTAATAACAGTTAGTGTTGCCCAATAATGAAAAGGATGAAGAACAGCTGATGATAGAGAGCATCTCCATGAACGTGATCAAGCACAATTTTTAATGATTTAGAATAACTGAAAGCCTACTGTGGGCAGCACACAGGGAGAGTAGCTGTAACTCAGTTTCTGTCTTTATAAGCTAGCAACCACATGGGGCCTAGCAGGGGAGATGAGACAAACATTGTAACAAACCAGGACACTAGGACAAATGCTACCAAAATTGTAAGAGGTTCACAAATTAAGAGCACAAGGGCTAATCCTTTTGAGGGAAATATGAAAGCCTTTATTAAAGTGGTAGTGAAACAGCATGTAAAACATTAACCAGCTTTAACTGGTTTTGCCTCCTTAGATTGTTGATTAATCAAACCTTGAGTATTCTACAGAGACAGCACTGCGGATATACAAGATGATAACCCATGTCTCTAGGATGACCCTGGAACCAAGAATCTTCAGTTTAGGAACTCAAACAATAGAAATGTTTCCACCAGAGCCCTTTATGAAGCGAGAAGTCCATCAGTAAGGAAAATCTGGCTTCCAGCACCTTGTATGGACTGATTCAGTACTAGCCAATCAGCTTCCAAGTTTGAAATTCCCCTCACCCCTTAAATTTCACCCCAAATACTATATCAAAGAGACAAATTTGAGCTGTGCCTCCTGTCTTCTTGCCAGTCAACCTTGCAATAAAGCTCTTCTTTCTTTCAAAAGCTTGTGCCATAGCACTTGCTTCTGTGTGCATCAGGCAGTGAGACCCTGCTCAGTAACAGCAGTACATAAAGAATGGAAAATATTTCAGTGGGTGGGTAAGAGAAGGAGGACATCACAGAAAGAGGATTATTATTATGAGTAGAGGCATAGGAAGGAAAGCGTAGGGATATATACAGATAAGCAGCACAGTTTGAAGGGATGCAATGGCTAGTCTAAAGAAAAATAAAACGTTAATCTAAATGATTTGGGGGGATCATAGAATGAGTCTTGGACTTAACTTGGGAGAGACAGTAAACATTTGTGGGGAGAGGAATGACTTTATCCAAACTGTGCTTTAATAACTGAATTTGGTGGTGGCAATACAATTGGTTAGGATCTGCGTGATGCCTAGTGCAGAAAAGCCAGTAAGAAAACCAGCAAGTAGAATAGGAGAAAAAAAAAGAAAAAAAGAGAGAGACTCAAGTATCCTGGAAGCAACAAGAATGGAGAGGAAATTCTTAATGAGTCACACCTGCAGAGCAGATTTTTGTAGAGGATTTGACAAATGAGGCAGGTGAAAATTGAGTTTTAAAGAAAGGTAGCTTTCAGTTGGAAGACAGAGGTCAAAGTTATCTCTTCTCAATACAATAGCACACAGTAGACCCTTACTAAATATTTGTTCTGTAGATGAATACATGAATGAATGATTTGGACTGAGTTCTAAGAGAAATGTGAAAAATGGTAATAGAACAATTAAAAGCTTGTGAGGGTCAGTTTCAGGAAGGCAAGGCTTGTTGGATAGAGATAGAAGTTTAGCAGTGCATGGAGGCCGAGGATCTCCATCAGGAGTCCACCAAAGAGGGCCCATGGGCCAAATCCAGGCCAGCACCTGATTTTTGTGCAGCCCATGAACTAAGAATGGCTTTTATATTTTTAAATGACTGAAAAAATAACCCAAAGAAGAGTAATATTTTGTGACAGGTGAAAATGACATGAAACTCAGTGTTTTTGTTGTCTTATTACTGCAGAAGGGACCAGTCTGCACCTTAAATAGTAATAATATGCTAAGCATCTTAGAACTGTTCTGTATATAATTCTCACTACAGCCCTATGAGATAGAATTCACTGTTCCCATTTTACTGATGAGCAAACTGAAGCTTACGTTTCACCAAGTTCATACAGTTCATTAGTGGCAGAGTCAGAAACTACATCCGTATTCATCTTTTTTTTTTTCCAGACTTCCCATTTCCCCCTAGGATAAAAGCACTGGCTCTAAGAGTAGCTGGACCATGAACTGCTTATAAAAGAGGGTTAGCAGAGAATGCTGAATGCTTAGAGGGCAGCTTTGGAATTGAATCAGAGGAAGAGAATGTTTCAGGCAGACCTATTTCTAAGAGAAGTGTATGAATTAACTCATTTAATTCTCATAACTCCTCCATAAGTTGGATACTACTATTAATATCTGATATTGAACAAGGGTTCGCCTTCTTAAAGATGACGTCCCAGGTGAAAGGGCCAGTGTGTGGGTACTCAGACACTCTGGGTCTTTTGATGGGTGACACCACTGGGCCTCCAAAGGCTCATGCTAAGTTTCCATGATCTCATGTTCAGAGGCGCTTACAGAAGGCTTCCAGGGTCTTGCACTCTTTTCCTAAGACTCCTCTCTCAGGTCCCTCAACCCCACCCCAACCAGGCTTCTCAGACCCTTTAGTTAGTAGTTCCCTGGTTCCTCCTAAGAGTTTATTCTAAAGAGACTCCCTGAATCACAACCAATCAATCAGCCAATGTATGAAGAAATGCAGAAGATGAGCTTAAGGTTCAAGTGTTTAGGGATGTGAAAGCATGAAACCCTCCTACAGAAAGCCTGGAGGCAGATGACAGTCTTCTGTCAAAGATTTCAGCAGCTGTAGATTTCTGGTTTATAGCCTCGGAACTGGCGTGTTTATTTCTGTGTTTGAACTCCTTTGGCCCTTAAAGCAGCCACTTTCCCACTTGGAAATTACTCTTGGCAGCTGAGGACAAAACAGGAAGTGATTGGAATGCAGTCTGCTTTAACAACTTTCTAAACTTCCAGAGTTTTAAAACAAGTGTTAGCAGTGGATTTACTGCTTTGCTTTAACTGCCTCCATTTCTTACAAAACACCTATGTAGTGGTTAAAGTGTCAGTGGCAAAGTCCTGTACAAATACTGACTTAGTAATGAACTTTGTACATCAGCCCTTCCAGCCGCATGCTAAATTCAAAGCAGGCTTTTTTTTTTGGCTAGAAACTGGTGAGGGTGAAAAGAGAAAGGAGCAGCTGGGAAGAGCAGGAAAGAGAAAGGAAAGGGGAAGTTAAACCTTCCCTCCCTGTCTGTCTCAGAAAACCCAATATGGCATCTTCCATGAGGAGCTTGTTTTCTGACCACAGCAGATATGTTGAATGTTTTCGGAGGTTTCTCAGCAATTCCACGGAGCACCAGTGCATGCAGGAATTCATGGACAAGAAGCTGCCAGGCATAATAGCAAGGTAACAACAACAACAACAAAAGGCCGCTTTTTTTATTCCAAGGGACGAGGCTCGCGCTCGTTCTGCGCAGTGATCGATGGGTCGAGCCCAGACCCGCAGGCTGGGCGCGAGGATAAGCTGACAGCAGCTCCGCGGGGCCGCGCCGCCCGGCGCCCTTGCTCCCGCGGTGCTGCAGTTAGACGCTCGCTTTAAGCATTCAAAGGCTCTGGTTCGTGCAGGATTTCCAGCTGCACCGAGATAGGCGTTAACTATTTGAAGGCACAAATCCACGTTCGTTTGGGAAAAGATAAGATCCAAATCTGTGAGCTGATTTTTCAGCTCTCCTCCAAATTCTACATTAAAAAAAAAAAATCCCAAACAGCATCTGGTATTCTTTTCATTAGAATCAAATATAAATAATTACCAAATACTATTTACCCCGAGGACTGAGTGGGTGTCTCTGAATTATCTTAATATCCATTTAAATTCATTTTCCTTATCCATTATTATAGTTAACACTCTCGGGAAAAAAAAATCGTATTTTACTTTCAACTTTAATATTAGCAATATGGCCCTAAAAAAGCATTTCCCCATTATCAGTGAAACTCACTAGTTCCTATCATTCTTGCAGACTCTTTTTCTTTCTTTCCTTTCTTCCTTTCTTTCTTTTGTGATTAATGTGTTCAATTTGTGCCAGAGCTGATAAGCATTGTGAGAGTAACAGATTCCACATGCTAAAGATAATCAAATCACCTCTCTGGGGGTGGATTGCTGTAACTTACTCTGCTTCAGGAAATAATAATAGAAAACTGGGGGAAATGAATGTGGATCCAACAGCAAAGGAAACTGATATTTTTATCTTCTGCTGCATTTTTCTATTGTAGGCCTGAAATTCTTTCACCAGCACGGTTAACTTTGCCTGACTAGAGAAGGCACTGTTGGGCATATATATGGAATTTGGTTTACCTTTCTATCTTCTATTTTTCATGGTTCACTTTTTAAGTGTTTTTTTTTCCCCACACTGAGTATTATATAATATATTAATAATTAGTAAGTAATAGCATAACAATGCAAAAATCAAAGCAGACAGCAAATACAGACAACTTCTTATCTAGGAACTAATTATAGTTTACTTCTTTGGGTCTTTTTGCTCATTTCTAACATTTAAGGTAATGAATTACTTTCTGAGTCCTTTTGCAATACCAAGCATCTGTTTCATGTCTGTGGCTCATGCAGATAAATGATGCGGTTTACTTCAGCCACCAAGTTGATTTGAAGACATACAATGGCTGCACAGAACATAATGAATGATGACTCTTGCCCTGTCTTCAAGGTGTATACAATCTAACTGGAAATACTGAACGTAAATTTTGTGAAATACTGAAGAATTTTCAAAGGCATAACTAAGTTTCATTACAGTGGTCATATATAATTAGAAATCATCTGAATCAAAGTATTATTTATTAAAAAAGCATTTTTTTTCCCTGAAGGTGATGTGGAACGAGATTTAGCTGAAGGACCTTCAAACTTGCTACTTAAAAGTTTATAAGCTTTAAGGAGGTAACATGCCTGCTTAAAATTTCATTTTTACTATAAAATTCATATTTCAAAAAGTCAAATGATTCTAAAAAGCTTTTAACGACAAGAATACTGGTTCCTTGCTCTACCCATTCCCATTCCTGAGGCCTGCTCTCCAAAGACAATCACTTTCAACACTCTGAAATCATTTAGCTGTTTCTTCTGGAATTCTCTTTCCTAATTCTAAATAACATGTTATCCTCTTTCTTAATTTTGATATATTAAAATAGCTAAATAAACATGCACATCCCTCCCCATATCATGTCAATACAGTATATATGTATATATATATTTATGTCCAAATTTGGTTACATAATTTATTTGTATCATTTTTGCCTGTGTACATATTATTCATAATTGAACAATACATTTATACTATAATTACACTTCCTGTAATGTACAACCTTTTGTTTTTCCTAGAGTTAACTATTGTCTTGATTTAACTTTATTTTCTTAGTTTTCTGTATACCTATCACTACTTACAACCCCAAGCAGAATTATTCATCTCCTTTCAACATATTCCAACAGATCAAGTGATCTGTTCATCTTTCCCCATGGGAACATCTTTTCTGGAGTTCTCTGTTCTTTTTTTCTAGTCTGGGGTGATTTGCTGTTGGCCTGCTATACAAGTATTGATGAGGGAATTCACTCACCTTCTAGAAATTCTCTTTGCCTCGCTCCAGTATTAAATTCCCTGATTCTAGATCTCATGCTGTTCTCTTCCTAGTTTCTTTAGTCTTTTTTTTTTCTTGCGACTTCTTTAAGAGCTTTCTAAGAAAGAGAGAATAGGAGGTAAACTTTTTGAAATGTTTAAAAATGCTATCACTCTTTGCTCCCCTTTGTTAGATAGTTTGGATATAGAACTCTATGCTGAAAATGATTTTACATCAGAAACTTAATGATATTTCCCCATGGTCTTGCAGCTACTGGAGTTGAGAAATCTAATGCCATTCAAATTCCTCATCCTTGGCTTGTGACCTTTTTGTTGTTGGTTTTTGTGTTTTTAATCATTCCTTATATCTAGTATACAGAAATTTTAAGATAATGAGATATGGTGCAGGTCTTTGTCACCCATTTTTGTGGGTAGTCCCTGGGACATTTCAGTTAAGATTCAGATCCTTCAGTTCAGGGAAACTTTGGCATTATTTAATCATTCCTCCCCTCTACTTTTCTCTTGCTGTAACTTCTATTCATTAAACAGAACACCTCCTGAATTGATTCTTTAATTTTCTTACACTTCCATTTTTTGTTGCTGAAAGATTGGCCCCTGTTCCTGACCAGCCAAACTGAAACTTAGAGATAGGGTCTTGGAGCTTAGAAGAAAAGAGACAGCTTTATTACTTTGCTGGGCAAAGGGGACTCACAGCAGGCTAGTGCCTTCAAAACTGTGAGCCCACCTTGGGGATGGGGTGGAGTGGTTATACAGCCGAAGCTCAAACAATAAACAATCAACAGAATCATTTCCTCCTCATAAGACTTAGAGTGGCTTTGTCATGATGCCTCCAGGCGACCAATTCTACAGAGGCTAGTGGTTGTCACTTTTTTGATCTCTTTATCTCATAAGTGCCCAAGGCGTGGTCTTCTTGGTATTTAGCCTATTTTGTATAGTTCTGAAACCAAGTATGATTATTACTTTTGATTACTGCAGTAAAGCAGAAACAATAAAATTAATAGCTTTATTTTAACAATTGGCCTGGGGCTGTGAGTAGCAACCGGTCAGTCAGGTCAGCTGACCGTTTTAAGGGCAAGCATAACAATAAGCAATCTGTTAGCTTAAATGTGGCCATTTTATTAATCCTCCTTCATTTTTACAATTTTATCTTTCAGCCCCTCTGTTAGTTGTTTGCTGTTATATTTTTAATTTCCAAGAATGTTCCTTTTTTATAGCATCTTGTTCATCTTTCATAGCTATAATACCTTCTTTTATCCAATAAAATTTTCCTCTGCTCTCTGCATGTTCTTTTGAGTTCCACTTATCCGTTTCTCTTGGTCTCTCTTATGTTACGGGTGCTCCTCAACTACCTAATGAGCCTTGGTTGTCCATCCAATCAAATAATGAGGCACTAAAAATTGGTTCAGATCCTCTTTGTGTATACATGGAAAGAGTCTGCTGAGTGGGTGGCCAACTCTAATAACTGGATGTGGACTTAGCTCTCGGATGGGAGATTTTCAGTTGCTAATGTAGGTAAGTTTATTCAGTGAAATGGGTTGTTTCCTCAGGGAGGAATTATTTAATCTCCATCTGGAGGTGAGGGGTGGGGTAGGGAGGGTTATAGTATATAGCTGTAAAGAGTAATGTTTGTTGCTGTTGTCACATATAATACATTAAGATCCTTGCCTGGAAGATAGCAAGTTTTCAATAATTGTTAGTTATCATCATAATATATGAAATGGGATAATAATATAGTATCTAACGCATAGAGGAGTTGTAAGGATTCAAAGAGTTAATTCACATAAATCACTTAGCTGTGCCTGGAATAATAAGTTGAGTGCTTGTCGTGTGCAGATACATTTCTGAGTTACATAAATTAAATCATTTAATCCCCACAACTCCTTCTTTAGATAGATACTATTATTATAACCCTATAAGGTAGGTGGTGTTATTATCCTATTTCTTAGTAATAAAGGCACAGAGAAGTTAAATGATTTGCTTAAGGTAACATATTAATAAGGTGGGATTTCAACCAAGGTGTTCTGCTCCATAGCTCACTATGCTATCCATAGGATATACACATTTTTAAAGAATTAACCAAGAGCATAGATAGGTATGGGTGTATTAAGACTCATGATTATGAATTGGAAGATAATTAGAACTGAGGAAGGCAACTCATTCATAGGTACCCTTGACTCTGTGCTTTCCAGTTTCCTTAAGAACCTTGCTTCAACCTCTGCCTTCATCCTATTACTCTGGGCAGGTGCTTCACTTTAACCAAAAACTAGGCTTATTTACCATCCTAAAGCACAAACAAGCACCATTCTTTCAGGTCATATTTCCCCTCCAGCAGTCTTTTTCCTTCTCACCCTTTCATTCTATTTCAAAAATCTCTAGATCTTCTCCCTCTTTATTGAGTTCACTTGTAATCCCACTGCCACCTGTCTCCTGCCCTCAACTTCCTTATTAAACTGCTGTTATCAAAGATACACATATTGCCTAATTCAACAGAGAGTTTTCTTTCTTCAGTTTTTAGTAGTACATGCTGTCACCCCTGACTCTACCAATGGCTTTTTCCTTCTCTAATTTTCCTATCATCTCTCTCGGCTTTACTGTTTCCTCTCTGTCTCCTTTGTGTGTTCCCCACTATCCCTGACGTATGAAAGCTGGTATTGCATCATAATCCTACCACTCTTCTCTTTACAGTAACCATGGTGATAATTTTCTCTCCTAGTTCTGACCATTACTTTATGATAATTCTCCAGAATACATCACTGACCCTGCTGTCTCTCCTACTCAGCTTTGATCTTGCATATCCAAATTGTCTGCTGAATTCAGATTTATCAAAAAAGCAAAAAAGGAAAAAACCCAAACAAAAAACCTGATGAAACATAAACCTGCTGTAAAATTACATCATCCAGCTTCCTTTTGATACCATGCTTCACCCGATCAAATTGGAAACATGGCAGTCATTGTGAACCTTGTACTTTTTTCTGATTCATCAAAAAAAAAAAAATCAGTCTAAAGAAAGTCCTACTGTGCATCCCAGTCCATCTATTCCATTCTTTTTCTATACTAGAGCCATAATACTGGGCTTTATTATTTCAGATTTCAGTTGAGAACAAAGTGGTATCTTACTCATTTTTAGACATCAGGGCCTAGGATAGGCATATAGTAAATGTTTAATAACCATTTGCTTATTGAAAAGAAGTTAGAAAGAGGAAGGGAAGAAGGCAGATCTCAGAGAGGGAGTGTGAATCACCATAGCCTTGCTCCCATCTACAGTGAATGGCTTATTGTATCACTAGCCTCAAAGGCCCACTTTTTCTGTTTTTGTTCTCCAAACAATATTTAAACAAATGGTATTTCCTACCTCTGAGATGTTTATAGTGCTGTTTCTAAAAGTCTCCCAGGTCAAGACTGTTAATGAATGGAACCTTTCCTTTTAAAGATTTCTAAAAACAGCAGTATAACCACTGAAATGATTGAGACTTTTCATGTTGGCCTAGTTTCTGTTCTCTATAATTTTAGTCTGTTCTCTTCAATTAGACTTGATAATCAGATTTTATAAACTACCTGACACCTTTTTCTTAAACTATATACATTTTTTTTTCAGGATTGGAGACACAAAATCTGAAATTAAGATTCTAAGCATTGGTGGAGGCTCAGGTATGAATAACACATTTTAAAATTTGTATTTCACGCCAAACATCATGCTGTTTCATGGAAATATTGCTCATTTTTTTTAGGAAAGCCATTTTCTTTTGCTTTTGGAAGAGACTGGTTTATTAAAACTAGTAAGAGTCATACCACTTCAACTAAGGCTAATGTCCCCATAGATTTACAGAGTTTAGGACATCAGCCTTCGTTATTACCTGTAATATGGATAAATGTGACTTTCTTATTTAAAAAAAATTAAAAATGGAAAAAATATAGAATAACTTTGAAGATAACTTTTATCCAAAATTATTAAACTGCTCACAGAAAAGGAAGATTTCAAAAGATGTTCCTTGAGCTTGTTTCACTTAAAGCAAGGTCCATAGACTGGTTGCTGGTTTGCAAACTATTACTGGTAAACAAGGAGACAAGAAATGTGCACTGGAATGTAAATCAACGCACAGCTCCTTTCATTGAGAAAGCATTGATACAGGAAAAAATATTTTTAACAACAGTTCATTTACATTCTTGTGGCCCCACTCTTTGAGTTGCACTGGCCTAAACCATTCCCTTCCTCTGGTTCAGTTCTAGAGCTGCCCTCTAAGCATTCAGCACACTCCTCAATCCCCTTTCACAAGCAGGTCATGGTCTCACTACCCTTAGAGTCAGTGCTTTTATCCTAGGAGGAAGTGGGAAGTCTGGAAAGACAGATTACTGGGGGTGCTGTTTCTGACTCTGCCACTAATGAACTGTGTAAACTTGGCTGAAATGTAAGCTTCAGTTTGCTCATCCGTAAAGTGGGAACAATGAATTGTATCTCACAGGGTGGGAGTGAGATTTATACAGATAAAGTTACAGAGTCCTCCCATAAGGTGCAGGTAGGTCTTTTCTGCAAAAATAAAACAAAAAAAAATTTATCTCCAGACTCTGACTCATATTAAACTCCTGAGTAGTGTTTGCTTTACTTTTAAGCTCCTAGTCACCTGGAGGTCTGAGTATGTATATATTCATATATATTATTTATATGTTTATACCTTTATTATTATTTTCTTTTGAATCAATCACTGAGTGATGGCTTAGTACAGGTTACCACTTGGTAACAAGTAGACACTACATTACCACTTGTTACATAGTACCAAATGGTAATCTCTCAAGTCTCTTAAGTATAAGTGTTCTAATGCTACATGAATGAGTGAATTGTAGCTGTATTAACACAAAGATAGCCAAGAGCCTTCTAATGGAATAGCATAGCTAGCATTTGATGACATCATTTGCTCATTTTTCATAAAATACACTGTGATATAATGTAATAAGGATTGATTCTTAAAATAATTTACTTTATTATCATCTTTCACCAAGAAAATAGAAACCAACAAGGACAGGTAATGAAAGATACTGTCATAAATGATCTAATACAGTGTGTTTAAGCTAACATACCCTGTTATTGCTTCTGATATTTTATGTCCTAAGGATTATAAGAGTGATGAATTGCCCAAAGAGTGTCCTATTAATTCATTTAACCAAGCCGGTCATTTCCAGTGTGTTTTGCATATGAGTTTCGAGCAACCACAGGCAATAAGACTATCATTTGAGAGTGTCACTTGTGCTTGGACAAGATGAGAAGCCCTACAGGAAAAGTAATTAAAAACAATCTCTACCATGGTCAAGTTAATTGGCCTTTTAATATAAAGTTAATTGAATTTCTAATGTAAATTTATCCAGATGCTTCTATCTAGAGAAAGGAACATTGGCCCACACAGTGATTCCTTATAAAGGTGCACAGAGGCGCTAACATACAGAACTCCTCAGAAAAGGAGGAGTGACACTTGGTGTTCTCCTGAATGACCCCTAACGCTGCATTAATAACAAACTCTGCCTTGGGGAGAATATGGGTGCCCTCTAAGGTCACTCTTCATAAGAAAGTGATCAGAAACATAAGAATTCCAAGATAAATTCAAGCTGTAAATACTCAGTTTTCACTGCTCAAGTAAGCTACATGAAATCGAAAGCAATGCGTTTAAAATCCTAAAAAGGTCTAGAAGTTCTTGGCATGAAAAATAGTGTTTTGAGGGAAAGGACACCCCACTGAGTCTGAGTGCTCATATGCCAACTGGGAGATGCTTATCTAATAATCTGTCATTGCCTATCTGCAAGTACCGCACAGGAGAACAATATGTTATTATATAGCAAGGAACTTCCTGTCCTTGCCTTAGAGAAATGCTCTCCCCACATGGTTAACAATCCACAGTGTGCCTGAGACTTCTACATTATCCTGTGGCTTGAGTATCCTTCCAGATCAGTCACTGAACTCCAACCCTGGCAAATGAGGCCACTGGCCCATAATGCATCTTACAGGGTTCTTCTACTCTGGTCTCAGGTGTCTCTGGTTTCACTTCCCAGACGTTCTCTTCTTGGATGCCCAGACACCTGCAGATCCTGCTCTGCATATCTTTGGTGCAAATATTCTCTCTGCGTCCATAATGGTGCTACCACTTCTCACTACCACAGTGAGAAAAATACCAAAAGCTAACAAACTAAAAACCTCTCTACATCAAAATTGCTTCAATTATATCACTTAATGCTCATGTTCTTTGGGGAGCCTGTTTGATTTTCTTTTCATAAACAAGAGCAGGGGGTGCTGTGCACTCTTTCTGTCTTTTGTCTCTTTAGAAGAGATTGATATTTGGGTGGAGAGGGATCTCATTGATTAAGGTTTTGGAAAAAGGTGTTTGGCAATTCAGTCCAGAAGCCAAACAGTTATTAAGGCTCTGAGCAGTTCAAAAGAAAGGAAATTGATGGAAAACGTTTTGATGTCGCCTGTAAGTGATCTACCACATCAATAAAATACAGTTGATAAGCAACACTGTTATTCATAGATTATATGTTTAAGTTACGAGAATGCTTGAAATAAATATTTATGTGTACCCAAAACAAGAAAGAGAGGAAATCAGGAGAAAAGCAAATCATGCACAGAAATACAGACCATATAGTTTTTACACAGGGCAAACTGGGAAGCATAAAGTGTGTGTACGTGCATGAGTTTGTGTGCTTTAATGAAACACACTGAGCAGTGGGAATTGCTTAATTTGAGGCCTCAGAGTATTCATACCATATTCATTTCAGCAATTGTTTTTAGATATTGCGACCAACTGCATTGTATTCTAAATCTCAAAGAATATGCTTTTTGGTCCATTTTCAACATTGATGCTTCCTAAAATTAAACCACCCAATATAGCTTAATTATTTTTCACTTTTAATGAGTGTTGTCTTTATGTCTGATGGTACACGGAGAGAAAGAAACCCATATTCTTTGTGATATGGGAGAATGTTCTTAATTTACAGTGCACACATTTATGCCTGGAAAAATGTTTCAGAGGCAGTAATGGGCAAAGTGTTCTCCTTGCTCTGGGCTCTGCTTGAAGGAAAATCATTTTATCTACTGCATTGTTCAGTTCTTATGTTCAAATGCCAGAAAATTTTATGAGGTTTAGACGGACTATAACTCAAATAATCTTATTTTATCCAGCTTTCTACTTCTATTTTTATTAACCTATTGTATACCTACTCAGTTGCCGTACCTTATATAACAGTGTATATATTAATAATTTTTTAATCCACTGAAGCAACTCACATATGAAAAACAGGTGGTATGAACCCTTTTATAACATTTTTTGATGATAATAATAATGCTGACATATGTTGAGGGCAGCTGGGTTGTTTTCTTGCTTTGTAACATATAGACAGCAACATTCCTGCAGAGATTAAAAAAATAGAAAAGTTTGGAGACCATCAACACCCTCACTCCACAGACAAAAAGCCTGAGAACCATCAAGGCAGAATACAACTCAGATCTCTTGACTCCAGTCCAACAAACTACTAAATAGATATAAAAGTTAATTACCGACTTGGCAAAGGAGAGATTGGGTATTTAGTAATGATTAGCTATTTGAAAATCTAGTTTTATTAAATTATTAATCTTGTTTCCTTTCTCAAATGACATGTTAAGGTGACAATGAAGTTTAATTTTCTCAGCTAGGTGGACAGAAGTAGAACATATGTAATTAGGGCAAGAACTGGAAGAGCCAGTGTATTCAGTTTAGAAGCAGGAGCTGGCTGGAAGCACAGGTTAACGTTTCCCGTGGTCTGAAATAAGCCAATAATCTACATCAGAAATTTAGGAATGACTGAGGAAATAGAGGGAATGAGGACTTTTTTTTTTTTCTGCCCAGAAAAACAGAATTTGAATGTGTTTATTGCCATCTTCAGGTATTTCCTGTTGAGCAAACTACAGAATATTTGCCCCTAAAGGTCCAGAAAGAGAGATTTCTTTGTTCAGTATTAAAATTTACTACTGATCAAACCTATTCAGAAATGAAAGCACACACGTTAGGATATAAAGAGCTATCTGTCATTCTAGGAGTATCGGCATAAGCTGGGAAAATACTTCTCAGATATGTTATAGAAGGGACTTAGGCACTAATTTCTTGGGTGTTTGGCCCATGAAAGGTGCCTTCAGTCCAGAAAACCTATGGTTTTATGAGTAACCTTCTAGAAAGAGGTAGGAGTTTCTCCAGAGTGGTATGATTGACACCGTGTTTGGTTATACTGAGAAGTGGAATTTAAATAGGGCTTCTAGACATGCAGACAACTTTCAACCTGTATTCTAGTTGCTTTGTAACTTAAAATGAGTAAGCACTGTTTTACTCATGTTAGCACTTACTCCATAACCAGCAGGATATGGACTCTAGTCGATTACTAATCTGTAGAAGTTAGGACTGTCTACTTCACGTAACCATAGTTTGGGGGTTCAGATATAAAGTATTGTTAAAGGCATTCATGGCTATATAATTTTAAAATAAACTATTCTAAATACATATGTTTACTAAAATAGTTTACATCACTGTATTGTGTTTAAACTTTCAGTGAACATGGAAGTATTGTCAAAGACAGACACATTGCAGACTTGAGCGAAGGGAACATAATGCTACAACACTGGAGCCATTGTCATTAAA